TGAACAGATTCGAAGGTCGGTTCCACCAGAAGACGACGGCCGATTCCTCTTGACCAGCTGTCGATTGGCTATACTGGAAGATTAATGCTGACGCTGCTTCCGAGGCAATCTCCTTCGATTCCGGTAAAAAGGTACCAAGCTTTCGTCCGTCATTTGACGAACATCATCAGAGCGAGGTAACATCGTCACACAAAATTCAAGTTAACGAGTAACGAAGACTTTCCGGCAAATCCCTAAAAAGTGGTATATATACTCTGCATCTGGCCTCTTTGATCAAGTATAAAGTGATTTGGTTAGTTAAGGTTACATGTCAACTTCGATGCATGTTAGTTAGATACATGGATGACTACTTTGCCATATTGCAGCATGGCAAGGATAGTTCAGATAATTTCTTGTTTTTAATTAACCAGATTGATTGCAATATTAAGTTGACACTGGAGATGGAGGTAAACAATACTTTACCCTTTTAGGATGTCTTAGTGATCAGAATAGGTGAGAAATTAAGCAGGGATGTCTATAGAAAGCCAACACATGCTGGCTTTATAATTAACTTATTCTCAAATCATAGTTACAGAAGAAAGGTTGGAGTTTTAAAATCGATGATTGTTCCGAGCATAAGACTGACCGATAGAGACCATTGCGATAATGAACTGAATTTTCACCCAACACTTTCACTCGAAATGGAAGTAAGCTCAACAATTTGTGAAATTTACTGGAAACGTTAGGCCTACTCACGCAATTATGAAAAAATTCAACCACTAGTCCTTCATCACCTGCAACGAAATATGATGAATATAGCTCTGATTCCCTTTTATTTCGGCTTCTAAATGGGAAATTCATTGTTACATCAAAGTTATCAGACCTTAAGTTCACCTTCCAGAATCGCATGGCAAAGAGAGTTCGGTCAGAGTGTAAAGGACAAGGGGTCAAATTGGTTGATATGGCTTAGTTTAAGTACTCTTGAGATACACGATTCCCCGCAGTCATAGCATCCTTTTAGCAAAACAACGCATAGATATGAAGAGCAAGATGTTGTGTCAACTGCTTTTGTTGTCGTCTATTTCACTGTATCGAAGTGGTTTCGCCTTATTTTCGCAACTTGGTCGCGTTATCAGGGTGGCCCTGTCCGAAGTCCTCCGCTTTGATAGTTACAATAATTACCTGCGTTAGACCATGGACTTGATACATTCCAAGACTTTCACCGGCATCGTAGTCAGCACCTTCTGTGGGCATTGTCAGTCATAGCACCAAGCTACAACTTGACAAAAAACCAATTATTTGTTTAACACTTATGCAATCTTATCTCCCCCTTGTCCTAAGCCTTAGCGCTGTAATCTCCTTTACCATTCCTTTTACAATTGGCCAATTCTCCCATCAGCATCTCTATGCATCCTCATTTGTTCCCACTTTAACGTCGGGGCTCTACTTACTGACGCTGGTGAATACAATGCAAGCGAATGGTATGAACCAAGTCAACAATCCAATTTCCAAAAACAGTATCAAGTCATTTTGGCACAACTAAATTGCGAAAAATGGGGCAAATTTACCACTATGCAGCGAAAAGAGACTTCGACCAAACCTAAGACCACACTTTCTTAGTCTTCGTAGGTAAACCTTAAAATTAGGTAAAATAAGGATGTGCCGTTATTTGAGATTGGTTGCGTATCCACAATTAAAACAACCGTGAACTCGAGTTTTGTACGGACAAAAAATGTTTGCTCAGATAACCTCAGAATAGTTTAAAGAAACGGTCATAGCAAAAGCACGAATGTTGTATGCGGCCTTGGGTGGAGAAGCATACAAATGAGAACTATTAGAAATATGGGATTTTATTCACCTGCATTTACACTGGTAGCTGTAAAAGAGAACTGAGGCAATCAAGCCTTACCTGACCTTGTCAATGTCACCTTGGCAACCAAGCATTGAAGGATTGTTGGGATAGTGGACTCAAACAACACATTTCGGAAGATTCCAGTGATAAATTATGGGTAAACATAGTGCCAAGCGGATAAGTTTGTGCACCAAATTGCAAAAAGATGATAATTTGAAGTTGCTAATTTTATCATACAACGATGAGGCTGCTTACCAGTTTAACTGTCTCCCATAAGCAAAATATAGCTAATAAAATTAGTCCAAGATAATTTTTGGTGAAATAACATCATCTGAAATGATGTGGCAGCATATTGAGATCATTCAATGATAATACTTGCCCATTCGATCCCTACCGGTTTAGTCAAGGATAATGCAAAGTAAGGATAAAAGCGAGGATAACGAGATGGACTGAAGAGTAATAAATTGGGTAGAAAGGGATAAAAAATACCAGAATAAAGAATGATTGAATACTGAGAATAAGACCACCAAAATATTATAAAAGTAAATTTACTGCACCGAATTAAATGGCAGAGAATTTTACCAATTTTTAGCTTAGCGATTTCGAAGACAAGAGTAAAATTGCATACGGATTGCTGGCAAGTATTTGATCGAAGTAAGTACGAAACAGATTTTTCTAATAGGCGTCTGTCTTGTACACAGTTATGGAACTTGATAATTGACTCTGTCCAAGTTTGTTTGTAAAGAAATTCTGATTTTTAGCTGAAATTCATTGTGCACTGCATCAACGATGGCCTTTCTCATTTGTTTGTAATATCGTTTGTAATATCGTTTGTAATATCCCTACCGGAAACCGATTCATGCATGAGAAATGGGAATGCCATGCACTTTGGCCCTTAGGCCGCGTTATCCAAGCTGCGTTGAATTCTACTACAAGCCTGACTTTTTGGCGGTAATGCAAAAAAATGACGTATGCATACCAACATGACTATTGAGTTCTGTATAAAACCTCATTATACATGGCCCTAATTCCCTTTCATCTCGAATTCCAACGTCTTTGCCTCTGAACTTGCCAATCAACAGTTCAAATCCCGCTGGGGACGAGTATGAGACCATGGGGTAAAATTGGAAACCACAGTTCGCTTAGGATATGTATAACTTTCCTACCTTCATGGAACAGTTAATTTAAACTCATAATCAGGCCATCTCTACAAACAATCCAGAGTTGCGAGAAAATCAGTTCCCTTCTCATCATACAAAACACATGCATGTTGAAAATGGTTGTTTAATCTATCAGAGTCTGGTATCCATGTCTTGAAATTAAGGCGAAGTCAGTGGTTTCCGAACTTTTCCTAGTC